TTTTTATATCAACTAGTAAATTTAAAAAATTTAGCTTTATAAAACCGACTTGAATTAAATAGATATAAAGACCGACTTTCTTTCTCTCTCTCTCTTTTTACATAGAACCGCAAAGATTTAATCTATTATACCTGAAAATACATACATCTTTATAGTTGGCTATGAAAAATTTCGCTGTATGATCAAGAGTCGTCGAGGCCAACGATAAGTCACCGAGAGGTGCGAGTAGAGGTACATGAAGATGACCCAGTGAGTCTAGTTGCAGGTGCTTAACGTCGAGTAGTGTAAACGCACGATCGGCCGCAACCACTAAACCGACCTCCAAGTATATCCGCACGAGCAGAATTTTTACGTGAAAATTTGCAGGACTCGATAGGAGACTACGTTCCAACAACGACATTGCCCTGCAAATCCACCACTGTAAAAACTGTATATACTTTCAGGGTATTACCAACGATCATTACCTATAAAGGAAAGACGCGTCATTAGTGTCAACCCATAATTGATGCAGCAGATGCGAAGCTAATAAAATGTACGAATCCGCCGGACAGAAATTGGTCGGCAATCGTTCTTGCACCGGACAGAGTTCGTTGCCCTTTTCGTACAAATCGCACAGTCGCTTTATCAGTTTTTCCTGTTTATTTCTGTCTGCTAAAGGAGGATGGTGGAAACCGCAAATACGTCGCAACTGTTCTAAGTGGATATACCTTTGCAACTGTTGTACGGTAGTTGGAAACTCGTCTGGCGCGACACTAATGTCTTTTTCGATCTACAATATCGCAAATATATATCATACAAATGTTTGATGTAACAAGCCATATAAAAAAGATGAGGATGTTAATGCAATTGTATGCACTTTAAGAATGTTTATCCAAGTTTTATCCTGTTTTTCTTACCCTTTCGAGTAACTCCGCTTTGCTCTTAGGTGTGAGTATACTTAAATATAATCGCAAGTCACTAACTACACAGCCTTTTTCTCCAAATTGTGAAAAATATTGATGCATAAGATCCACAGATTGCAAGCTGTACTGTGCATCTTTGTCAGTACAGGTACGTTTCAGTAATTCCAAGCGTGCCAAGTAAGGCGCGCGAATTTTGTTTTCGGACATATTAATAATATTGTTAAGGAAATCCAAGCATTCTGTCGGTTGTGAAAAATTTAAGGCCATCGAAAGGTAATTTTGATAAAACGCCCAATTATCAGTGCTGTATAATAAATATATAATTGTAATTGCGCGTAACATCGAGTCTTCCTTCCTTGTAAATAT